AACTTTTTTTGGTCTTGTATTAGTCATAGTACAAGTTTAAGCGCCTTACAATACGGTAAGATTATTTAAGAGGTGGGGCCTCCGAATTTAACGTCCATCTCCGATAGGGCTGAGCCACAGGGCTGGAGAGTCATTAAAACTACGCAAAACAATCCAAGTTCAGAGCACCCCGTTGGGGTTTCGAACTATGGCTGTCCGCTCGGCAGTTCAGCATGATACCAACTGAGTTGACGGTGGGCCCACTCGACCTAGGTTTAAGATTTTAGATATCCCAGCATCCTTTTCTCGGCCGTAGGTTTCATTCAACAAGGTTAACCCTGCAGAAACGTGAGGCTATTAATATCTCTACTATTATTAGTCTAAGTATGCGATCCGCCATCAATGAACGTGATGCAATAGCTAAAAGATCTCCTCTCTCAAACCCTTGATGACGACGGTACAGACTACTTACTAAACTTTTATCCACTCCGGTGAACTCGTCGTGCCCCCCGCAGGACACCCTCGGCCCCGCCCACGACTGTGTACACAAACTCACCCTCCATTGTTTGTATTGTACCCCTCATTTTGTCACTTTCTTCCTCCTTCATCCCATCTTCTGTGAATCACAAAGTTCAAATTACCTGCATAACTTACTCGACCCATCTTAGCCTGCAACGGATTCATCAAGACCTATTTTTTAAATATATACATTTAACCCCCCCGCCTTTGTTTCTGCCAAAGCTCAGTGTGCTAGTTCTCACAGCACGTGACCACAAGCGCTACAAATCACTCGACTTTAAGGCGAGATTATTCAAAATTTTGAAAACCTCAGAAATTTGCAAGGCGGAGTCTTTCTTTACCCATGTAACTTCCGTGTGCCGTCGCAATACACACACACACGCGCGCATAGTTCGCCGTCCTACGCCCTTACCTCGACCCGACCCGACCCGACCAAGTGGCCTATATAAGACGAGGAGTCGTCAAAACTGTTCAAATACAGCCTAAAAGGAGGCGAGGAAGAAGCAGGGCTGGGAAAAGCGGCGAAGACCGCTGAAGAAACACCCCAGCATAATAAGAGATCCATTTGGATAGGAGAACGAACATCTGAAGAAAGCTAAACAGTCGCCAAGATAAAAAAGAACTACCACCAGCCCTGTGGGCCATTGTGATTACCACGAGCCCTCTCCATTCAGGTAGGATAGTCTTGATCTGCTTTACTTTAAAAAAGCATAGAAAAATGCATTTTGTTTAAAAAAAAATGTTCGACTTCGTGCGTGAATTTTTGGTGGTTTTTATGTTTCTGAGTTGTTTTTTGGGTAAGTGGTTTTTTTTTTTTGGGGGGGGGGGCTGTTGTTTTTTTTATTTGAAAAAAAAATTGTGTTGGGGTGGGCTTTTTATTTGTTTGTTACCCCTTTGCTTATACCAGTAGGGAGGACGTAGACCGATAAGTGCAACCCCATAGTAGGTTGCTGGAGTTGCTGCACTTTATTACTCGTTTCAGTAAATTCTACCCGTCTCAATAAAAAACAAATGTAGCGAACGTGAAGCGAAATAGGGGTACTGTGATGTTTAGTGCTCAGTGACTATTGCTACTTTTTCTGTATAGTTTGTCGACAACTTTGATGAGATGGTTATTCCAAGATACTGAAATGCCACAAATTCGGACAAGAAGACTATCTGTGGCCTTTTTACTTACTTTAATAAAATTTATAAGGGCTATAATATGAAATGTAATACTATAATCCTGGTGGCCAAATTTTTGCATCCCTTTTAGAATAGAAGAAAGCACACACTTTTCCGACTTCAAAATTTAAAAGAAGTTAGAATTTAATATTCCAATTAGCACGAAAGAGACGAATTGTCATAATTTTGAACTGAAAAATTTATAGAATTATTTCGATCGCTATGTATATCGCAGTATAAGTTTTCTGTAATACTTTAGAATTGAGCCGTTGGTTTCCCTATGACACTTTTAGAAAGTGCATTCAGTATGATAACTTTTCTCTTGCTTCTTTGCTTTCCTTCTTTTATTCTGTCTATTCGTCTTACACATTACCCCTGCTCTAAATGACTGTTATGGTGTCGATATTGTTTTTAAAAAACTCAAAACCAACTGATTACTTTTCATATTTCATCCAGGACAGGCAATTATTTCTCCGTTTTTGACAGATACGAGGACTCTTACCTTTTAACTTCACCATATTATGTTTGTCTTTAGTCGTTACTGTAAACTAGAGGAGCTTTTTCCTGTCGTCACCTGGTTAATGATCGTAAAACATGATGTGAGACAAAAACGGTTGGACTTGAGTTGATGGTGTTACTTTGTTGGGTTTTTTTGGGGGGGAGGGGGCGAGTTGCTTTGTTATTGTTCTTTGTTGTTTGGTTTGGTTTTCTTATGCTGGTGAAAGACGGAAAGGGGGGGGGGGGTAAGGCCAAATAGTATTTAGTCGAACATCTATTCTCTACATAGTATATTCTAGTTGGAAGAATGTGTGGTTTGAAGACGAAATATAAAACATAGATTTTGGTTTTAAAAAAGAAACATATATTAATAGTGATGATGATGATGATGATGATGACAATTAATAATAATGGTAATAATAATAATAATGATGATAATAATAATGATGATGATAATAATAATGTGATGATGATGATTATTATTATTATTATTAATTATTATTATTATTATTATTATTAATTATTATTATTATTATATCATCATCATCATCATCATCATCATCATCATCATCATCATCATCATCATCATCATCATCATCATCATCATCATCATCATCATCATCATCATCATCATCATCATCATCATCATCATCATCATCATCATTATTATTATTATAAACAGCATTTGTATTGTATATTGTGGAAAGTATGCTTTGCACAATGATGTCAAAGATTGTTAAATAAGATAGGTCTACCCCTCCCCCTTTTCCACTATTTGAGAAAGAAAACTAAACGTCCTCATCAGTACCGGTCGTCCGGCTCCACTGTTGTGTAGCAGTTATAATACAAGGCATAAGGCTGAGAATGTTTTGGAGAGTAAGTGCTATGGTCTGCTGGGGTAATAATATAGTGTAAAGCGCATAGAGCCTGCTGCTGAGCGGGGATATGCGCTATACAAATGCTATCTATTATTATTATTATTATTATTATTATTATTATTATTATTATTATTATTATTATTATTATAATGCTCGTCATCCTTGCACGCAAAAGACATGTGTTTGAATCCAGTGTGGGAAGGGTTTTTCTTTTTTTGTGTTTTGTTTATCGAGTATCACCATCGTTCTCCGGGGAAGTCATATCGCTCTCAGCCCGGATTGACCCTGACAGGCAGGCCCGAAGAAGCCCGCCTCCGAAATAATTAAATCGGTTCGATAGGGGCGTACATTTTTTAAATTTTACACCGGCGGCAACATCTAGATCTATATCAAAATGCTTAATACCGGAGAAGGTTATTTTCAAAGGGTGTGACGTATCGAGTATGCAATATTTGACATAAGCAACGTTGGTCTTTGGCCGAGAATCATGGATGACACTGCTTTTCGATCCTTCACTGCACACTTGAATCAACATCACCAGCTTTAATGGTATCCCATAATGCTGCAGTAGTTTCCATAAGTGGGTGGATCACAATAAATCCGTCAGTGATCTGCACGAAACCTTGGAAATTTTGGACAGGATAAAATGTTGACCTAGCTTAAGACTTTGGCTGTGTCAGCGGCAAGCTAAAAACGGAAGAGTTGAAGTGACGGTTGTTCGTCTCCATTTCCAGAAAAGACGCCTTTTCAGTACTGTTAGATCTTAAAGTCAATAGTGCTTCATACTGTCGAGCATTCCTTGCATAAAAATACGGGAAAGAGGGGTGGGGTGGAGGTGGTGAAGGGGGGGGGGGATGGGCTGGCTCTTTTTTGTGTATCTTGTCTCATCCTGAGCTCTCATTACGTCGCTTCCGTTCCTTTGATACATTTTCCCGTGTTTCGCTCAAATGACAATAAACAGAGCTCTGTTCGGCGATGGTTACGCTCTTTCTTACATGCAAACGATGTGAGTTCGATTCTTTCTCGAGATTGATATTGTACCAATCATGTCCATCTTATTTTTGAAGTTGATCCCTTTGCGCTTGGGTTGTTCCGGAAAGAAAATTGCTGCAGCCAGCCTCCTAAATCGTCGTCTCTGAGTCGATTATTGTGTAAACATCTGTTACTACAAACAAAGCCAAAAAAAAAAAAACAAAACAAGATGGCAACGATCGAGGACTTAAACATGCACATTGCAATTATTTGAATCACCTTTCTGGTGAATTTACACACAACAAAAACAACAATAAAGACAGCACCCCCCCCAAACAAAACAACAATAACAATAACAACGACAACGAAAACGAAAAAGAAACGGTGACGTGTTATTTAAAGCGTTTCTGTTGCGTTATTTTGGTAACATAATAATATTATAAACTATATCAGACTATAACAGAAGACAATCGTTACGAGCATATTGTTGGTAAGGATTCCCATCCAACACCAGAAATCACCGTAGAAATTGCGCGTATGTATGTAGTTGGAAAGGATTAAAACCTACTTCTAATCAGAACCGTTTCTTTTTCTTTTTTCATCTCCAGATTCCGAGCCCAGAAACGCAAAAAGTTAAGGAGAACAAATAGAAGTAACAATTCATTTGAACAAGAACGCGCGTGAGATAAGAGAGTAAACAGTAACTAAAGATACCCCCTCAAAAACAAAAGCAAAAACAAAAACAAAATAAAAACAACCCCCCATCCAAAAAAAACAAAACAACAACCCCAAATTATTTTTTAAAAATTCTGCAAGGTTTTTTTTTTCTTCTAAAAACTGAACCCACCAAGGTGTGTGTTGCCCAGAACTGTTGGGAATTCGCACGGAGGCTGCATATACATTCGCCCGGCCTAAGCCCGAAGGAGGATTTCGCCGAGCGAGTTGGGTGTGTGTACTCGGATGATCGGCCGAGCCTAGAGCAAAGAGAGATCACTTCACAGAACCCTTAGCCAGCCAGAGTCCGAGACTCCGAGCCGGGGCCATCCGCCCCTCTTACTCAACACAAGTTTCCTTTACAAGTAAGTTCACAGGATCATGAAATATCCAGGCATCGCATACCACCAGTGTGATGGTTTTTGTACCCTTAATTATAAGTCTGACGCACAGCGTTATAATCATCGTGTTATCATGACAAAAGTGTCTAGAACAACCGGAGAAACTAATTGTGTTCAAAATTCTACTGAAACTGACTAGGTTTGACAGGCCTTATTTGAAAAATTAACACTCCTATGTTTCTTTTACTCGTGAAATGCCATTCCAAACCTGAACTCAAAACGTTGAGCGAAATAATACTCAGTGGAAGATCGGCTAGAGAATGTTGCTCAACTACAATACAATAGAAGGATGCACCAAGATCTATCGTTTTTCTTCTCTAAGCAGTTTCTGTAATATTGCATCATGAGCAGTAATATTTTATTATTTCATTGATTTAGATGTGTGTGTAATTCAAGTTCATACCCAGTGATCTAGCACTTCAAAGAAAGATCTGTTATGTCTTGGATTAGCCAAATTCTGCTTTGCAAAAGCAAAACACGAAGCCACTATTGCCAAAGAGTATTGACATGAAAATGTACGACATGATGATAATATTCTTTCATCAAAGAAGCAGAGAGTTTAAATTTTGTCCAACACATATTTCTTTCTTCCTCAACCTACTTGTTTTTTCTTAAATTGAACAGTTTGCCAAGTTCTTAATTGTTCTATCAAAATTACGTTCGATTCTGCCAACTCTATGGCCTAAAAAGCAGTAAGATAGTTTCAAAATTCGTAGCACCCAGGTCAGTCCCATTAACATTTAATGTTTCGCCTTTCGACTCTCTGAGCTCAACTTTGTGATATGCCCGTGTGGGATGTTGGTAGTTGATGTCATGGAAATGCTTTCTCCGGCTGTAATTATGCTTGCGTGTCTTTGGTGTCCGTCTCTAACCGTGTATCCACCAAAATAGGTCAACCACTTTTTGTGTGTATCAGATTATGTTGGATTTTTTGCTCATAAACGTAATTAAAAGAGGTGATACTGATACTACAATAATATGTAAAAAGAACACACTTTACGCACTTTTGAGCAATTCTGGTAGAGAACTGGACAGAAAAGACTTTTTTTTCCTTTTTTTTCTCTAAAAGCCAATGTTCTCGCGCAGTGTCGAACATTGACGATAAGTGTTTTGGCGTCCTTCGAAAACACACATAACAATATCACTGTGTTACTACACTTGAAAGGCTGTGTTCTGATATGGCATTTATCTGCATTGAGTTCAATTTGCTGTGAGGATGTCGCTCTTGCTATTGAGGAGGAGGATTGTGATGATGTGAAGATGGGAGAAGGAGGGGCAGAAAAGTGATGATGATGATGGTGATGATGATGATGATGATGATGATGCTGATGCTGATGCTGATGATGATGATGATGATGATGATGATGATGATGATGATGATGATGATGATGAGTTCTACATCTGTTTTTATAATATATGGTTATGATACGTAAATACTTCACAAACGTAGACTGCAAAATTATTGCTATTGGTATATTCTGGACGATATTACTAATAATATATAAAATCCTTTTACATCCTAAAATTGGACGAAACTAGCCAGAAAAATTCAAGGTAGAAAATAATAGTGCTAATTGTATTTAAATTGCGCGAAACTTGAAAGGGGTAAAAAAGAAAGAATAAATGTTCCTCCATACTCAGGATTTCGGAGCCTTTAAAGCATTGGCGACACGTGCGGACAGTGTGTATTTATAGAGTAAATATTGGAGATTTGCACGTCACTGCCTATATTACTAGCGGTCTGCTGGGTTGAGTTTGGATGACATTTGCATGTACCTCAACGGTGAACAGCTATGCGCCCCAGATTGGGGATGATAGAATAATGGTTTGGCTCTTCAAACTACATTATTTTTCTACCCTGACAGGCTATGTCAGGTATTTTTGTTATCCTTTCCTTTTCTTCCATTCTTCTGTTTCTTCTTTTTTCCTTTGCCCTCCGCATCGGGGACAAATTTAGCTGTACAAATACGCCTCTGCAAATTCGAAAACTTTTTTCCCCCCTTATGTAAGTATGATGGATCCAATTACTTTTATTTTATGTTCCCTATCAGCGAATTCCAATTTAGTGCGCAACGTACTTTTATCCCGTGAGATAAAAGGAGTGGGGAGTTCTAAACCCAATAAGGCACTGATTTTTTAAATAAATGTCATTTAATGAGAAAATACTTCCAAAATGACCGGTGTTTCTATGTAGTCTAAGGGTTAGACTTTTCTCCGTTTCACACAGAATGCATTCCTTTTACTTTGGGATTTCCATTGTAGGCTTTGTCTTATCACATTGTAGGCCGGGCTGGCTTCCCCAGCGTATGTCTTGTCCACCCCCATTTTCTTTTCTTGATCTCACAGGTTGTAGTTTCGTTTGGTGGGGGAGGAGGGGTTGAGAGTGAGGTGAGTCAGTCCTACAGTTGGATTTTTAAAAGAATTGACATGTTAGAAAGTGTTCGTTATAGGTCTAGTTTTTCTAGTAACAGTTTTTCGGCACCTGCAATAAAAATAGGTCACATAAGTGCCGTAGATTAGAGGCATCACTAAAGAGAAAACTACATAGAAAAGAAAGAGGAGAAATAAGGACGACAGATGTTTAATAGGAAAAAAGAAACAAATCACACCAAAGCACTAACCAACCTCTCACAGAATGTGCTCATGAGTTCAAGTGGAATGCAGTTAGACGAAAGAGTAAAAGTCCATCTTTGACATACAAAAAACTTGAAAGTATACAAAAAGTCTGTGTTTGGAAGTACGGCATTCAAAAGAGCGGACCTGTCAGGTGACTAACTATGGCCATACACACGTAATAATAATAATAATAATAATAATAATAATAATAATAATAATAATAATAATAATAATAATAATAATAATAAAATGATAATGATGATGATAATAATAATAATAATAATAATAATAATAATAATAATAATAATAATAATAATAATAATAATAATAATAATAATTATTATTATTATTACAAGAACACTCTCAGAAGTAACGATGAGCATTTGCTGGAAATCAAGTTGTATACATCTTCTATTATTGTCTTTCATTAATGTCAGAAAACAGGACATTGGGTGGAAATCTGGCTGAAATCCCATAGCAAATGTCACATCTCTGTGCTATTACGTTGTATTGTATACGTATTGAAAAGGGGCTGTTTTGGAACAGGGTTAAACTGAATACTGGGCAACGACTGTATTGGAAACTGTGACCCGGGGTGGGGGGGGGGGGGGGGGTAGGCAGCTTACAAAATAATCAAAGTTTGGGCAGTTAATTTCTGTTTTGACTCAACAAAATTAGCAAACCGTGTGTGTGTGTGTGTGTGCGTGTGTGTGTGTGTGTGTGTGTGTGTGTGTGTGTGTGTGTGTGTGTGTGTGTGTGTGTGTTTGTGTGTTTGTGTGTATGTATGGGTGTTTATGTGTGTTTGTGTGCGTTTTGTGTGTTTGTGTGTGCGCGTATGTGAGCGTCTGTGTGAGCGAGTCGTTCCCACACACATATATATTACGTGCATAAAAATGTGAAAGTTGTCTAGGGTGTATGTCAACGAAAATGGGTCTGAGATGAGTTACATTGTCCTGGGATCATCCCCGGGTTTTCCCATGTTCTTTCAAACAGAATCCCATTCCTCTCATGCCAAAATACAGTCCCTGTTTCACCCTAGTGGGTCGTCAACGGATTATTGCAAGCCTTGCTTTTCTTTTTACCATCGCTGCACAAACAAAGCATTATAGCCGGCCTTTTCAATAGCTGAGAAAGGTAATGCACGTTTTAACTGAAAACTTGCAGTTTTGGCCATTATAACATTTCTTTCTTTTTTTCGAAGGCACGTCTTTGCTAAGTAATTTCAATAGTTTCGTCATACTGAAGAGGAAAAAAAACACCCAAAGAAACTAATTGTCATAAACAGCAAAGACTCACGGGTGTTCAAACTTTAAAATAACCGGTTAAAAAAACAACAACACCAAAAACCTAAACAAAACAAAAAGCACACAAAAAACTTTAAACAACTGGTTTAAAAAAAACAAAACAAAAGAATCTTTGTTTTCTTTCAAGAGGACGACCCTCCCATTTGTTAGTTTTTCTTATTGAAGGATATATTTGTTTAAAAAGAACAAAATTCGCACAGGTGCAAATCCTTAACTGATCGTAAAATAGTGAAACAGGAGCCCCCCTTTGGCTGAGCTGTCATTGTGAAAGGCTCAAGGAGTACCGGAGGTTTCACGTTGCCACGTATCCAATGGCAAACAAAGAAGTAGCCAGTCACTGTGTTTGGAGGTTTATTGTGTGTCTGGGAATGGGGGGAGGGAGGGGGGGGGGGGGGGTCGAATAAATCCACAGTCCACCGCTAGGAAGAGCAACATAATATCCAAAAGTGGAGCAGCGTACTTGAAAACGATGCTCTTGTTTTCATCTGATATTTACTCTTCTATGTAATGTACATTGATCTTTTTTTTTCTTTTCCTTTCCTCTCTCTTATGATGCCGTGACTTCTATCAAAGAGTGATGTAATGGACCGTGCTTTTTATCCGCTAACATTCGTGCAGTACTGACCAGCAGCTTTACAAAAGCTTCTGAATAATAGTATTGGTATCCCGACCTAGACCGATCTTCAGCTCAAAAGTACCTTTATATCCACCCCTTCACCCATTCTATCAAGTATACCTGTTATGCTGTTATACCTTATGGCCGTATACAATTTGTGAATGTGAGAACAGAAAGAGAGGGAATGAGGGAGATAAAAGAGTTAACGAACCTTCTTAGAAGTAGAGGACGAGCAAATCAAAAGTACAGGCATTTAAGAAAGACTGGGGTGGGGTTGGTGGGGGTGGGGGGGGGGGGGGCGTGCAAAAAGTGGGAGGTTAAGCTGAGGTCTGCCTTTTCTGTGCATATTTTAAGTTTTGGTGAGACAGGGAGATTATCTGGTAGACTATTTTGGGGAGGGGCTCAATCTCCAATGGAAGATAATAAGA